AGCGTCACTGAACGTGGATTGACCTCAGAACCAGAAGACAATACAATGCTGAATAAAATAGCTTTTGTAATTTTTGGACCAAAATGTATTTTCGATGCTTCAAAACATTCTAAATAACCCACTGATGTCATATGGACTACTTTGATGATGTCTTTAGCCTATTTCCTTTCTGGACAAGGACAGTATACCGTACATTTTCAATGGAGGGACAGAAAACTTTCGGACTTAATCTAAAATATCTTAAACTGTGTTCCGAAGATGAATGGAGGTCTTACGGGCTTGGAATGACATGAGTGTGAGTCATTATAATGACATAATTTTCATTTTTGGTTATGATCAACTGCAATAAAATAGCCTATATTTTTTTCTAATTCAACTGTTCATTTCTACTCTGTACTTGCATAGATATACATAGTCTATTTCTCATATATAGTTATACTATATTCTATATTACTCATATAGTATATACATATACAGTATATACAGTATATACAATATACTATATTCTCATATATATAGTATAGTATAGGCCTAGTTATTTTGCATTGTGCTGGCATTTATTGTGGACAGCAAGGTTATAATTGCTCAGGAAAATCTGCTTTCCTCACTGCAGGTGTATGCCAATAAAAGCTTTAAATCTCAAATAATACAGTATATTCATCAAACCTCTGACAGTGAAATGAACAGCAGTTTTTAATAATAACTAAAATAGCAGTACGCATTCTTAGATGAATGACAGTATATCTAGTATTTTAATGCAGGAGCATGAAGTAACTAAAACATTAATATCTAGTAGGATTTAGGGAGGAACTAGCCGATAAATCACTAAGATTAATCTTAGCCTGGTTGTTAGCCTGCTCCAGTGTAAATTTCCATAGTAACTTAATGTAGATTTATTTTGCCTCCATTCGTGCAACCGAGTCAGGGCTAAATTCAGCCAGGATAAACCCCCAGCTTAATCCCTTATCTTGCTTTTGTGCAATACCCCCCGGGACAAGGTGCATTGGGGGTGTATTTGCACAGTGCCCTGACAAACACAAAAACAACTATTACAGGAAAATAGAACAAACAGAGAAAGGCTAACAAATCGGGGTGAAGGTCCCCTCGAGCACTATAAAACATCTCCGTGTAAGCATCTGTCAGTTAGAAGACATCGGCATTTGTTGTGTATCGCATTCATTGACGCAAACATGCTTATTAGCACATTATGGGGTGCCTTCGGCTCACTAATTGGTCTGTTTTATGCTGGGGTGCAGGTCATGGTGCCATGTCTTCCTCCAGCCCCTCTCTCCGCTTCTGTTTTTACTACTGATGAGGTAAGAGGATTTAACCCTTTAACATCTTTACTTCATGCATCTTGTAGGCTACTGTATAGTGATTATTTTCTAAGCTGAACAAAATCTGGTAAATATTGTGCCGTTTGTTTCACAGGCCTCGTCTTTAGCTTCAGTTCTTCACCTTCTTCAGTTTCAAGATATTCTGTAGATTCATTAATGTATGGAAAATAATTTAGTGACTGGTTACATAAAATTTCTGAATTGTGTGTGTTGAACGGTTCAGGATCTTGACCTTGCAGCACAGTAATGTCACCAAAGTCAGTCTTGGCTTTATGGCAGGGTTATTATCTTTAAATAAAACTAAAAACATTTCTGTTAATTGAAAAAGCTTAAATAAAAAATATATATAAACATTGATAAATGAAAATAGGCTATAATAAATAAAACCTTACTAGCAATATTTTTTAAAAAGCACAGTGAAATTACTAAAAAATGTGACTAAAATGAATTAACATGGAAGACATAAAATATAAGCTAATTCAAAATATTAATAAAACTATAATGAAATAAAATAAAAACTAAAATCACACTGCTATGTGGAAATGTTTGTAATAGGCCCTAGATGTGTGTGATTATTAAGAATTTGACTGAATTTATTCATAAAAGCCAAGGCAAAAATATTATAATTTATTGTAGATGTCAGATATCCTACTTCTTGTTCCAATTTTGTTAAAATATTTATTTTTAAAAATCCTGTGCAGTATATGGGCTCTTGGCATTTTGTGGCAGCTGCTGTATGGGATGAAGACGATCTTAAATCATTCAAAACCACCGACAGCTCTATGCTTCACATCCAGAGAGACGCTAACGACACCCTGACGGTGACTGAATCCTCTCGTGTGTGAGTGGACTGCACACACACACGTACACACACACACACACACACACACACACACACACACACACACACACACACACACACACACATTGACATATGGACTGTTCTATTACTTTTCAAGTATATTAAAATACTTGTGTTTGTATCACCACAGTGGAGGTCAGTGTCAAAAAAACACTTGGACCTACTTCTCAATGCCTGTGATGGATCATTTCCTGTTTAGAACTGGTAGGAACTGATGTACGTAACTTACAACCTGATAATTTCAACATGTATTATTCATGTTTAACATCTCACAAATCACAATCTCATGGTAGCCTACTTTGTAACTGCGTTTTGGGTCTAAATTGTATACATTCGTGAAATCTGTTTACGCCGTGTTTGCTTAACTTTTTTAATGAAATCGTTACAAAATCGCCACCTCATAAAAAAAGCTAGTTAGCCTAAGTTACGTTTACCGTGAGATTGGGTTGATTCATATCAAGCTATTTCCTTCTCAGAGATCCTTTTAGAATGTTAATCATAATTTAGTTATGTTTATTTCAAAAGATGAATCATTTCTCATGATACAATTTTCCCCTTTAAAATGTGTCTCTGTATGAGCAGATTTCGATACTATTGCACTGGTCTGGGATGGCAAGTTCATAAACTGCTCTTCATGCATCATAATACTGTTTGTGGATGAAGATGAGGAAACAAGTGCTATGTTATTTGGTCAGTATCATCTTTGATCATGATCCACCTACAGTATGTGATCAAAGCAACATGTTAAACTGTTAAACATTAATAAAGACAAAATGCTCACACATATAATTCAACATGCACCGACCTCTGAAACCTTCTAAGTATAACCTCTAATACTGAATATGTGCTGCATGTACACTCACCACCAATGGAAACGGACTCAGTTACACAACTAACTTTTATTCATAATGTCTCTCTGTTTGTCTGTCTTCCATTGCAGCTCGTAGTGAAAAAATACCAGATGAAGTGATACAGGAATTTAAGTCAAAAATGGAGTGTGTATATATGGAAGATTTCGTACAGGCACCTCTGCAAAAAGGTTGGCCAAAGTTGTCTGGCACATTTCATTATTGACCTTGTAACTTATTATGTATTGCAAAACAAAGGCCAGCAATCTGATGATATTATGAGCATGTTGTTCCATAGTTTATGTAAAACTAGATTTATCATACACATATCGTTTATTTCAGGTTACTGTAAACTTGATGAGGCAGCTTAAAAAAAAAGGGTAAGTAAACATTCTGTTTTCTAAACTGACTTCTGTTTTCACTGAAAATTGCACATTTTATTTACTGTGCACAAATTTCTCCTAAAGGTCACGAGCAGCTGCAGAGATCTCCATAGTCCAGATCGACAATGAATGACTGCTTTGATGGACTTTAAGATTCACTGTTGTGGGTTTAGTGACTGATCTATTAATTGCACTTTCTGATTTTTCTGATTGAGATTTCTTCAAAGTACATTAAATCAGTTTGTGTTTTGTGTTGATTACTCGGATTATTGGTATTAAAATTCATAATTGAGTTTTAGATTCAAAACACCATCTACTCTTATCACAAACGGGTATCACTTTACCTCCCTCACTTCGGATTCATCTTTCCTGAACCCTGGTTAAATTTTCATCCTGCCACCATTACATGAATTATTTTCATGGAACCCAATCTGTTAACAAATAAACCAAACTGTAAATTTCAGTGCATCAGTCAATGCAGGCCCATTACATCACATGTTAATATATAAATACATTAGTAAGAACAATGAACAATGCAGTGATTCCGGTCCTGTGAATTTCAAAAACAATCATATTGAAATTTATTTATCTGGCTAAAAGAGTATGCATTTGTTAAAAAAAAAAAAAATAACAGTGTAACTTAATTAAAGGAATAAACAAAAACTTTTTTGTTTGTATATAAAACTTTATTGATGAAATGGGTAATTTCTCCCCCCAAAATACACTGTAAAACTATTAACCTGTTTTAAAGCCTATTCATTTAATACTTTCTAACATGGCCAAATATCTTTGTGCAAATTCCCTTTTAAGCTTATATTTTACAGTGTATACATGAAACATACTATTCACATTTTACTTTCACATGCAGTGGAATAATAAGTTTGAACTATTTACAGTTTTCTTGTGACACAGATTGTTAAATGCAGGCGTTCACTGCAGTCATCAAAGCTTAAAGGCAGGGAAATAATTTTATATTTAATATATTAATTTGCCTCACTGAATTCTGTAGCAGATCAGTGCACACATTATGAGGCCATTTTAGTACAAACTTTCTGTTACACAGCAGAAGATGCGTTTCTTGCACTTCAATTTTACTGCATGCTTTGGCATGAAATTATATCCGAACACAATTTGTCAATGGTTTAAAGCCATTGTATTAGAATCACCTTGCCTTTTAACTATGTACCCAGTGACTTATTCATTAAATAATTTGCAAGGTAATAATAAATAAAGTTTAAAAAAGACACGAAAATACACAACCTTTTCCTCTTCTGTATTTTCTCCAAATTTTGTTTATATGATCTCTCATGGGATATAAAGGATTAATTGCTTATCTTCCTTATCTAACTGATTGTTGTAATGATAATAATAATAATAATTATTATTATTATTATTATTATAAATATAGCTGCAAGCAGCAATTACAGGACCAGGCACAGCGGCAAAGACATGTAAAGTCAAACTGGAAGTATATATGGTGAGGAGTTTAGGACTTCAAGCTAAAGTCCATAAATAGAAATACTCATAATTTTTGACCAACAGGTGGCACTGTCAGCCTTTTAATATGTGATTGTGCTAATGGCATACTTTTTTTTTTTTTTTTTTTACTGAGATACAGCCTCAAATCCTTTTTAGCATCCTCAACTTTGAACCCTTTGTGCTTGGCCCTTAATAATGATACATATACAGAATACTTAACAATAAATGTTGCCCATTTTTTAGAGCAATATTCATTCAGTCGTGCACTTAAATGTTTCTTTGCTCATGGGCAGTACAAAAACATTTATGCAAACACTGAAGGCAATGCTATTAATTTTAAAACACATTAGATATATATTGGCTACAATATAAATGCATTTGAATGATTCACTTATTCACCTTGGCTTGGTCTTGCTTTCCGATTTTTAGGCATAAACCTCGAAAACAGAAATGCTCATTTGAACACTTCATTTTATCCTTGCTTTGCTTGTTTCCTCATGAATGTCTTTGTTCTCTTCAAAACTGAGCTGCCTTTGAAAAACTCCATCTCCTACAATAACTCAGAGACTTTGTAAGAAATGTTTTATCATACTAATAAAGACAAGTTAAACAACCTCCAAAGGATAGTTCAATTGCACTTAATGCATTTTGTTGTACAGACACAGCTTTTTACTCACAGTTTACCCTTAAATTTCTTGTGAGATCAAATGCCTCGTACGAACGTGACAAAATGATGAAGATATTATACAGTAAATCGAGAACATGTTCTCTTTTGGCAGCACCAATTCCCTGCAAACAGGGTTTAATTGTCTTAGTAATCTAGAGAAAGACCCTGTGAAATAAGAGCATTAAACCCTGTTTTAAGTGCAAAACTGTTATAAATCTAAATATTGCGTTCATATTAGCATTTAAAAATAGCATATTAAAATTTCAGCCCTCTTGAGTCACACAGCAGCACAGATATGTGACTCTAACCCTGGCGAATGGCAAATACACTCCTGTTTTGTATAACAAAGGCACTTGAAAATATGAGGCATCTGTGTAAACCTAAACGACCACTTCTTTTGCTACAACTTCTCAAAAGTTAAACATTTTCTGCAAGGCCATTATATTAAAATGGGTGTTGCAGCAAAATATTTTGGAAATTAGTATCTGATCATCTGACTAAACAAGCTAACACATGATGCCCATGTTTAAGAGCCCAACCAAGCCAAGCTGATGCACTTACAAACACGACTGACACAATTTACTTCTACGTTCTGTCATGCAGGGAATCTCAACTGACTTGCAGAGAATCCCCCAGAATGCCTTTCATTTAGGAAAATTCATCCAATTCTTAAACTTTCACTCAATGATCATTCTGATATGTCTATTTAAAAACACATACATATTTTCCTGTGACAGTAATTTGCCATCATTGGTCCAGCTAAACTTACTCTTCTATAATTATTATTCAGAACTCTTTAGCTGATCAGAGAAAATACCACTACAAAAACTGATATATAACTCATTTTTAACGCCGATGCAGGATGTGTGTCCATACACTCACTTCCTCTGGACAGGCTTCACACAGATGTGGGTATGGTTCCTCCTCACTCGTTTCTGGAGGTGATGTCCTAAAGTAGAGACAAAAAAAATGGATGTTAGATTCTTTATTTAGTCTCATGTTTGTCTTAAGTCTGTACGCAGATTCTCACCTCAGTCTTTGCTCTGCTCCAGTGAACTGCGCTTCCAGGTTTAGACATACCTGAAGGAGAGAAAATGATTTGATAATATTTTACTCCTAAAATAAGAGAAATAAGGTTGATTGATTATATAAATGTCAACCAGCCCGCTCTAAGTCTGATTGGTTTATATATCTGTTATCATGTTGTTTAACAGAAACAAGAACAAATTCAGAAATCATCAATGTAATAATGTTGTTGTTGTTGTTGTTTTTCCTTTAAAAATATTGTGCATGAATCATTCGAGCACATTTTTTGAAGAAATGTCTGTCTTTGTCATTTTAACCTTCAAATGGTCTTCGTTTCCTGTTTACACTTCTGGACTCAACAATTTATTGAGTAATTGTACAAACAATATACATTTTTAATCATACAAATAATATATCTTTTTTTTTTTGCTTTGTTTACCTCTCATCTATTCATTAATTCTGTGTTTTTGGAGATATAAAGTACTTTTGTATCCATATACCACACAATTCCTCAACTACACCATTAGCTTGCATATGAAATATTATTTTTTTATGATACATTGCATTTATGCTCTAGTACTAGGCCTTCATTTCTGTGTAAAAATTTTCAGATTTATGCCAGGGTTTTTTTTTCTCTTTTTTTGACACATGAAGAAAATATATTTAGTTTTTTTTTTCACATTTCCCATTCATTTCAAATTGACAATGTGGAGTCATATTGACCCCGAAGACCAGAAGTGTAAACATTTTTTTACATACCTTCAGAACAACTGAATGAAGCCCAGTTTTTGTGTGTAGATAATGTATGAAAAGTCACAAAATCTTATTCCACTGAGATGAAGGGTACCTTTTTTTTATTAAGTAAAAGTGGGGTCGTATAGACCCCATGACCAAATTGAGGGCTACAAACATAATAACTTGGCTCAAAACAATTCATTAAGTGTACTTTTCCACTAAAGAATATGTCAGAAGAATTACAGAAGAATAATAGTGACTAAGCTTGCTATTTTACTTGATTTGGTTACTCACATATAGATGAAAGCAGAACCATGAATGCCACGGCTGCAGAAACACTTCCCAGCAGCCACCTGTGAGGATTATGGTGTCATTAATCTATGAGATGAAAAGCTCCTTTTTCATTACTAATGAACCACTCAGACAGAAATATCTCTCTCTATCTCTCTAAAAACACACACACACACACACAGTTTCATTACCCAGAGGAGATGGCAATGCACAGGCACAGAGTGAGGATGAGGAGAAGGACTTTCCGGAGCACAGTTTCTGAAACAAAAATATAATAACAATCTGTTTCTTATTTTCCATATTCATCAGACACTCACTGTAGGCAAGGATGGGAGCTGTAGTTCTGTTTCATTCGCCCTTTTCTCTCACCTGACGATGTCTTGCTGGATGAGCTATAACTATTGAGGTGACAGACAGATGGGGGAGGAACATCCAGGAGACCGCTCACTGATTGGCTGAATTGTTCAGGGGCGGAGCAAGACTCGCACGGTGGCTCCTCCTCTTCTTCAAGCTGAGTCTGAGGAGGCACTTTATCTGAAGAGGAAACAGGATCTGTGGCATCTATAAAGGAACACACGCACATGATTACTAAAAGTGAACAGGCAACTATTTTAAACTATTTCTTTAACTCCAAAATTAGAATCCTCCTAACCGTAGGTGAAGCTGATAGGTCTATCTTTCTCATAGCTGTGGTCCAGCTCCTCCCATGATGATAACTGGATTGGGGTGATTGGGTCAGATCTTCTAAAAACACTTCCTTCCAGCCAGGACTGGCATGATTGGCTCATATCACTCAGAAGGCTGGCCAGTGACCTTTTTCCTCGACGCCTTCGTCTGAATATGCTAACACGCACACACACACACACACACAAACATGTCACATTGGTGTCCATGTTTCATGGGAATTTTTCAAAGACATAATTATTTTTATACATAACAAATTTAATATTTTATCTCCTATTTCCACCTCTCACAGAAAACTTTCTGCATTTTTACATTTTCAAAAAACTTTTACTTTCTGGGGACATTTGGTCGGTAGGTTAAACACACACACACTCACACACACTAAAGTTTCATTATTCTGCCAAATCTAAAGTTACTTTTTAACCCTCATAGACCCCAGCATTGATATGTATGATGTATTCGTTTTACACATCATAAAAAACTATTTTTTTTAGGCAGATTTGTGTCGGGGTAAATTTTGGAGAAAAAAAAAATGCAGAAAAATTGCAACATTTAGGGTTGCAAAATGTTACCATTATTTTTTGATACAGTAAGAAAAAGTTTTGAATCCACAATGTATTTGAAATATAATAAATGTTTTATACCAGTAAAGATAGAGTCATGAGAAGTTTAAAACAATTTAAATGTTGCATTAAATATTCATTTCAAAGCATATTTTAAATATAATATAGTACTTTTAATACCACCTACATTCATTTTTTTTAAAGTATATGCGATTATATGTATAGTCCTAAATGAGACAATAATGACAATACTTCTAAGAAATCACCTGAATTTTTTTTTTTTTTTGCATCATTCATCGAATAGGCTCCAATTGTGACAATAGAAAAAGTTTGATTAGAATTTCAGAATTTCATTTTTGCTACACAGAGAATTCAAGTACATTCAAAATTTCATTGCATGTAAGCCTTTTCTTATCACTAGACATAGGTTAGAAATATATGTATTTTTAAATATTAGATGTCAAATACTAAACAGATAACAAATAAACAGATAAAGTAAACAAACACATTAGTTCTAAATGTGTTTTTATAAACAAATGTGTTTTTCTATTAAAATATTTTGTTCTACATTGATTCAAATTAAACACTGTGTCATCTGACTTGCATCATATTGTGTGACTTTAGCAAGCTGTGGCATTTAAACTACTGTGATGAATTTCAGAGTGCCATGTACCACCATGTACATGTATGTATAGTACCAATATTTTTTAAAAGCAAGGTATTAAATAATTGCTTTTAAACAAACATTGCAATTCTGCTTTGCTGGCTCTGAGGGTTAATTAAGAAATCAACTACTAGAGCCAACACACAATTGTGAAAATACTGTAGTGTATTTTAGCATAGGCGGAACGAAATCCAGAAACAAACATTTAAAGTTTTAAAAGATAGTCTGAAATCCAGCTCATTCATACTCACAGCGCACACAACAAAAATAAACACTGTCATGAATCTCACCGGACAAGATTCTCTTTGTATGAGACGCTGGTGTGTGAGGGAGTCAGGGTGACGTTACCCTCGTCGTCTGTGCTAAAACTGTCCTCTGTCAGTACATAATAACCGTTGGCTAGTAGGCGGGGGCTTCGGCGACATGCACACACAGAGCCTGTCAGCGGATTGGTGGAAAAACACTCATAGGAGGAATCAGAGAAGTGGGAGACGTCAAGACTGAAAAGAGAAACAGCATTATAGCAAGGAAGAACCTATAAAGATATGCTGCTGCTTGTCTACATGCTCATACCTGTGACAAATATGTTCAGCCTCCTGCCTCCTGGTCTTAATCGGAGAACCTATGACAAACACCAGGTCAGCATTACAACAGTCTTATCAATGAATGAGCGCAAGATAGAGGGAGAATGAGAGACAGAGATGTGATATGAGGGCACACGTACTTGTAACCGCTCCTTTGAAGAAGTAAGCCATGGCTTATGCTGCATCCAAACCTGTAATACACAAAATAATATTCAGCTCTAATGGATAGTACATAATCTACCAAATAAACACATATTGGTTTTGAATTATTTCTCTATTATTATTTTTTCTTCACATGGATGCTCTTGAATAATTCATACATCAAACAGAAACATTTTAATATGAGGATCAAATGAAAGAAAAAAAAATACATATAAATGCAAATTATTATATATGGATATGAATAAATCAGTACTGATGAATGGTGATTGTAAAGAATGAAAAGGACAAAATAATACAAGGTAACACAAGTCCACATTTGCTCTCTGGAAACAGGATCAAATGAAAACATTTTTACAGATCCGTCACTTTTCTGCTATAGAGCTTAAGTCATTAATAAAACAATAATAATATAACTATACAAGTGTACTGCTAATTATTCTACAATTAGTCTTAAACAGAATGTAAAAAAAATCTAAATTAAAAAAGAAAATCACAGAAATATTAAAAAGTAAATAAATGGTTGCGGACTAAATATGTAGTAAAATAAAATGTAAAATTATGACATGGAATGGAATTACAGGGATTTAATGGATGTCTAAAGAAATTAGGTCAAATGAGAGGAAAGACTTACTTTGTTGTTATTTTTTTCTAGATATTTTTTGTAGATCAAATGTACAAAAATACATGTATTTCATGAAATAAAATGAATCATTGAATGAAAAATGGGGAGGGGTGTCTGACAGGATGTGAAGGGAGTGGGATGGGGGAATCAGGGAGCCATGATGATACAAAAGGGGATGATGCTGGCAAAGTAGGTGGAGACCAGTTACTGTACTTCCTGTTAACTACTTCCTGCCTGGAGATAAACGATTGGCTGATCAGAGTGTCATGCATGTGTGTTCAGCTGCAGCTGCTATCAGAGAAGCTGAGGAGACCAACGGCAACAAATGAGGGAGCACAATAATCCATGCGCTCTCGCTCTCTCTCTCTCTCTCAGAAAGTAGCTTTTTTGTTTTCTCAAAAATCAGTTCCCAGAGTGATCACATGACAAACTTCTTTCATTTATGTTTGCGTTTGAACAGAAAGTCCCCCAAACTCTCACACGCATTTCCTGTAGTCTCTGCGTTTAGAAACACAAGGACTGCAAGATTAACATTACAACATTATTAGTATTACTGAAAGTTGCAAATACATTAAAAACAAGGCAAACTATGAGGAAATGTTGATATTGCAGCAGAGTGCACAGTGAAATGAGTAGCTGCAATATCAAAGCATTACTGAAATGCATGCCAACCACACATGCACACAAACAGATTCATAAGCTCTGAATAACTGATTTATGGCTTTACTTCCATTCTTATATACTTAACAATTTAATGAGAAATTGTCATTTAACCCATTTAAGACTTAAGAGAGAAAAAAACTGAATGTTGACGTTTCTAAAATTAATATTTGATGCATTGTCTATTTCTTGTATTTTGCATTGTCTATTTCATTGTCAGTTGACTGGGATTTCTCTGTTTACTTGTTTTTTCTTCTCAAAAAAAATCTTAATGTACAGCACTTTGGTCTACCTTTTTTATTAAATAAAATGGTTAACAGGTAAAATAAAACCTTACAGTTTTCATAAATAATTTGAATAAAAAAAACTGATAATACCCGATTACTTTGAAGGGAATAACAGAATAATTACTGTTATTTAACTCAGAATAAAATTTTAAAAAGTAATCTGGCGTCCTCGTTATCTTAATGCCCTGCCTGTTTAGTTCTGCGTTCAGGTTCAGACGCTCCTCGAGTCTTTGTTGCGCGGCCTGCAGCAGTTACGATGCGCGAGACACATTCACACACACATATCGAGCTGAGAGTATTGTATAATATGGCAAACATACAATTCCATAAATCAGTGTACAAAAATAATATATAAGGTGATTATGCTGAAGCATAATACTAACATCCGGTTACTTCTCGACACATTCTTTAGCGCTGAATCTGCCTTGTACCTAACGTAATTGCACAACACATATAGAAGTAATACGATTTAAAAAGAGGAGAAAAACAACACTTACCTAAACCAAGGAGAATGCGGATAGCGGCGCTGCTGTCTGTCCGCTTACTTACAAACATTGGCATGCATGAAGAACCACGCCTACAGTCTGAGAGAGAGAGAGAGAGAGAGAGAGAGAGAGAGAGAGAGAGAGAGAGAGAGAGAGAGAGAGAGAGAGAGAGAGAGACAAGAGACGGAGAAAAAAAAGAATAACCAGTAGGCCTAATGCAAAAGATATTTGACCAACTCACCAAATTAATCGTATTTATAAATTAATTATGTATATTTGTATATCACGATGGAAAAGATTCACCCAAAAATGAAAATCATTTACTTAGGCTACCTCATGTCATTCAAAACCATCGCCTGTAAAAAAAAAAAGAAACTGTATGTCTTTCTTCGGCTGACGTCGAAATGGTGACACAAAAAGTCCCAGCTACGAAATAAAAAAATCATAATTATGACACTAGTCATAATTATTCAATAGATAATAATTGCTTTAAATAGCTCATTGTTTTTGATTAATTGAATATATGATGTTAGCTAACTGCATGACTTGTATTAAATGTACATAGAACTGTACATTTGTGACTTATGGATATTACTTTGACAAACTCACCTCTTATAACAGATTAATCTAATTTGTAATGCAGAAACATGCATTTTGTGCTTTGAAACAAAAATTATAGTGAAAAGCACTATTCAAATAAATGTCAATTATGAAAAAATTAATTATGACAAATACATTATTTTATTTTTTATATTATAAGATAAAAATGACATAATGTCAAAGTCATACTGTCATATTTAGACTTTTTATTGCATAATTATGAATTGGCATCACACAATTTTCTAAGTTTTGGGGCAGAAATGGGCTTGCATTGTATGGACAAAAATATTCTTCTAAAAAGAAATGATGGCGAAGAGATGATTACTATCCCTTTAAATGTAAATGTCTGAGCTTTCGGAGCACCAGATATTCAGGCTCAGAATCTCAAAAGTACAAAGACTGATACAGTTCTGTAACTGTAATTCTGATTTTATTTCAGCTTTTAGTGCGTGTGTCAGACAAAATATAAGTTATAAGTCTGTAGATAGTTTCAGGGATTCATTATTCATCATTTAAATTCCCAGTTAGGAATATTCAGTTGCATAGTTGATTATTAAACCATTTACAGTTGCTGTTAGTACTCTTTTTTTTTTACTTGTGAATTCCTATAAACATTACAATTCAAAAGAGAGAATATTCAACAAGTATTGTTCTTAGGCTGAACAGACTCTACAAATGTTTCCTGAGGATGTGGACTGATAAACTGTGCTTGTGCATATGAACTAAAGTAGACCAGAATAATCTCTAGTGTTTCTCTGCAGTGTGTGAGGATGACATCATGGAACAGTTACATGTGTGTGCAATGCTCTGGGGACGGTTACGCAAGATAAAACTCTGAGAGTTCTCACTGTTCTAGTGAGAATATATATTTTTTTATTGTTCAATACAATTTTTTTAGTTATTTACACTTAAAAACACATCTAAACTCAACAAAATATTTATATAAAATATAACCAACACACAACATCACCAGCTCTGAGTTTGACTCAGTAAGTCTGTGCGTTGGGCTCTAATAGGTGTGTAGCATGCATGTCTCTGGTCATGTTGTTTTTCTCTCTGAGTTTGGATTGTAGTAACGTGTGCTCCACCACTCCCATCCGAACATCCATCTGCTCAATTTCCTGCTTCAGCTTGGTCAAACTCTGACGGATCTTCACCACTGGAGCTGCATCACAAAACACACGAACAAGCATAAACTCCAGCTTACATAAACAAACTGCACCATCAGTAGAGGGAAAGAGTGTTTGTTGTGCGTGCGGTTTACCTCCATCAGACATGCTGCTGCCTTTCTCTTCCATTTCCTGTTTCACTTTCTCTAGCTCCTCACTGATCTTAAGCACAAATATTAGCACGTTATTATCTGAATATTGTGTGGCTACTGGCTATTTGGACATAGAAAGGCTATATACATTTATTTATTAAAAACACTGATGCTTTTTAATTCTTACTCTGTTGTAACCAAAAGATGGTCAAATCATTGCTAATGCTAATATTCTGTGACTCTTGCGATAGCATCACAAGTTTTTTTAGACTCACCTCAGCCAGAATCCTGGTTCTCTCTGTGACACCTCCACTGGCCTGCTGATAAAGCTCTTTTACCTGACGAACAAAAACACATGGTCAGCCTGTGTTTTGATTGGTTGAGGGTAACATGCGATTGACCATCCTGTGTTTTAACTGGTTGAGGGTAAGTAATACATTTTGGGGTTTTGATTGGTCAAGATGTTCACCTTGTTGAGCTGTGATTGTGCTTGGCGGTATTCTGAAATGAGATGCTCGAGCTGAGTATTGAGATATTTCTCACGACTGCTCACTTTCTCCAGAGTTTTACTGATGTCCTCTCTCAGCTTAAACAGACAACCCTGAACACACACACACACACAATGTAAATAAATATAAATATAATATGTAAATCTATAAATATAAATATATATAGGTTTAATATTTCACATTATTATCCATTTTAAAATGATTTTTAAGAACATCAGTTATGGATGGATGGATGACCTTGGCGTCGTGCAAGGACGTGTTGATGCCATCTTGATGTTGATGCATTTGATCAAGGTGAATCCTCCAATCCTAAAACACAGTAACCTGTTACTTCACATTCAGCCATTCAGAGTCTCTCCATCACCATGCAGATGAGATACAGCGATTAAAGGTTGAGGAATTTGAGACCTTGTTGTCAGTGCGGATGGTGACTTTAAGTTGTGGAAGAACTCGCTCCACCTCTAGATTCCACTCAGCAGCATCAACATCTGACTCCAGAACCACTGCAGGCCTTGAACCACTGAGCTCCTAAACACACATATATCTACCAGTTGACTTTTACTGTACATCCTGTGTAAAAGGTTATGTTCTAGCTCTTTAATATATTAATAAAAATCCCTCCTAACTGGTATAAAGGACTGGGCTATTCATGCTTTGTAGCACACACACAAATATAACCTCTCATATGGAACAACTTACAATCTCCAGAAAAAAAAAAGTAATTACTCCTTTAAAGTCTATATTATATGTAAGGATAATCCACGGCTAGCTGTGGATCAAATGATTTTAATGCACGATCCGGAATCCATTCAAATCATTTAATGCACAGACAGCAGTGGATTTCACGCTTATACCATGGTCATTTGCTAGCATTGACAATTTAAAGATGTTAATGTTGTTTGCATTACAATATTATATTATAAGAGTAAAAATGAGGGTTATTGTTTTTGTGTTACGACTCATTAGCATTCTGCTTTCTTTAAATAAGACACAAAATTGAAGCAGAGTGTTGCAAGATCACATTCATTTGAATTAATTAATTAGCATTTATTTGAATTAATTATCGAGATCGAGAGAGAGAGATAGATAGATAGGGGGGGGGGGGGATTACTAAAATTTGCAGGCAGTGATACGTTTCTGTGTGTGCAGCGCAATCTCCGATCTCAATGTGCTAGTGATTGTGTGTGTGATTGTCTACAATGAAAACGCATTGATATAGACGGTTAAACTGACTGGAATTACCTGTGCATTAAACTGTTTTAATGCACACCTTCCAGCCAATCAGAATTAAGAATTCAGAAAGACCATATAGTATAATACTAAATAAAATGCACATGCGAATATTTCAAATAAAACTCACACTCTGATTGGTTCTGGTCTTCAGTGCATCTAAATCAAGTCCGTCCTCTTCCTCATACTCCTCATCCTCCTGCTGAAGATCCACATTTTTAATGAGTGTAAGTGTGATTCACTTTAGACATGAGTTTGTGTGTGATTCACTGTCAAGTCTTCCTCCTGTGTGAATCAGGGGTGGGCCATAGTACCATACATTTATATTATGATATTTTCTATTTTTGTTGATAAAATATATCACCCATCTGATGCACAACAATAACCAAACTAAAAGTAAGGTGTTTGTATACATTTGTCAAATAAATTGCGAAAAAAATACAGCTTCTCTAAAAACAAATATATAAAAATGCCATTTATATCTCAAGGTATTTTTAATACAAACAAACACTGGAGCTAAATTACTCAATCCAATTTACAACACTGAAAAAAGGAAGGGGAAGCTTAGCTTAGAATAGGGTTTAAGTGTGACTCACTATCATCTCTTCTTCCACTTTACTGAGTGTGAGCTCAGCATCATCTTCCTGAACACAATCATCTTCCACCTCCACAGATGGGTACAGAGGCCTGAAAAAGAGAAAACACCAGCTGTGTTATTGTTTGTGTGTAGAGTGGGAACAGAAAGTTTTTGAACCCTGGTGAAATTTGTGGTTCTACTACAACAAGATTGATATTAAAACTAAAGCAGCGAAGAACATCATCCCAACCTGCATTCAGCTCATGATGTGTGCACCGTTATGTATATGTGTACCTGTTCCATACAAAGCCTTTACTCTTTAGTGCTTTTTCTACCAGCTGGTCTAGAACATTACAGACATGCTCTCCAGATCCAGACTTCAGCTTAGATGGGGGGAAATCAACCTGGCCACCCTATAAACACACACATATACAGTGATAATCATGAAACCCAAATGCATCACACACTTGCATCACATCACTGTGATAATGTCTGACCAGGGCACGCAGCTCAGACAGGATGTTGGAGACGGTGGCATTGGGGTCGTCGTACTCCTGCGGTGCATCAAACGGCCGTCCACACAGGGAAATCAACCAGGCGGCAATTACACTGAACATATAGAACTGCTCTCCAGGATTTGACAACACGTGAGGGCTAGAGACAAAATAATGCCTGAAAAACAGAGAAAACATGTATTTGAACAAATCTCTGATTGAGAAGAAACACTGAACAAATATACAGATTTAATTGATTTTGAATTGATTCGTAGAATTTTACTGATATTATTAATAATATTAGCCAGAAACAATATTCATATATTGTAACATGTTAATATAAAAAAAAAAAACAGAAACCAAGCAAATGCAAAGTATGACGAGTTTTAATGATGCTGACAAAAAACTCAAATCTCAAGCAGATAACAGCCAAAAAATTAAAACAATGTGGGAATGTGTCAAGAATAAATACACAAAATAATACACAAATAGCATAAACCAAAAAAAAAAAAAAACAATGAAAAAAGGATACTATTGCTGCCTTACTAACACCATGCTATCGGAAATTTCCTAATTCCCAGTTGTGATTATTACGAGTTCATCGCATTCGAATTTTACTTTGAGTAAGGAAACTAGGAAACGTTAACTTAGTAGCAGCTAGCAGTATTTTTTACGATGATTCCGATAGCACGTGAAGGCGGCATATAAAACATGATAATGCCTTATAATCCACATATAAAGTAGCGATTCTGAATCTCTCACCTGGACAGAGGTTTGATGTTGTGTTTGTCCAGAACCTGCTGCTCATAATCCAGAACTTTGAGTTTATCCAGCAGATCCTCCATTAGCACGAACATCTGATGGACCGAACCGGGTCCGCGCTCTTCCTCCTCCGCCATCCCTCTCTCTCTCACTGTTCACATTCAAAAAGCTTTATTGGCAAGACAAACGGGTTTAAACCTTAATTACACATTATAGCTATGTATACACACATATTTCTCCTACTCTGTGTATTTTTGTCAGGTTGTTTCCCGCAGGCGGCAGGCTAACGTTACATTAGGGGACTCAGGATGTTGTAGTTACTGTCGTCAAGAATGCAGCCAGACCCTATTGGCCATGATAGGAAACAAAATAATAGTACTGAACAGTGACGGATGATAATACACAATGAGCAATAATGAATGATATAGCATATTTGACTTGTAAATAAAACGGTGATAGCAGCAAGCAAAGACTTAATATGACTGTTTGACTGAAAGTTTTGTGCAAGAATCTCATAGTGCTGCCACACGCTGGAGCGGAGAAGAAATGGTGCTACTACAGGTTATGATTGTATTCTTATTTCTCTACATTCCTGTCTGATCCAATAATAGACACATAGTCAAAGTTTAAGAAATGCTTATCTATTTTATTTTATTTATTTTTACCACACATTATCATTCAAACGTATTTTAATGTTAAAATAATTCTCTTCTGCTCACAGCTGTATTTATTTGATCCAAAATACAGCAAAAGTAGCAATATTCAGAAATATTTTAATTAATTTCTATTTAAATGCAGTTTATTTCTGTGATGGCAAAGCATCTTACTCCAGTCTTCAGTGTCACATGATTTTTCAGAAATCATATTATACTGATTTGCTGCTCGAAACATTTAATATTATCAATGTTGAAAACATTTTTTGATGAAAAGGTAGTTCAAAAGAACAGCATTTATCTGAAATAGAAAGATTTTGTAACATTATAAATACCATTACTTTTGAACAATTTAATCCACCCTGGCTGCAATACAAGTATTTATTTCTTTAATTTCTAAAAAAAAATTTAAAAAAAATTCAGCTTTGCCAACACAGGAAAAAAATACATATTCAAAAAAAAAAAGGCCAATATCATGCTTTTTCTGGTCAATATCACTGGTTAATATCAAATAAATGCAACCTTGGTGAACAAGTGACTTCTTGAAAAAACATAAATCTTAAAGGGATACTCCACCCAAAAATGAAAATTCTGTCATCATTTACTCACCCTCAATTTGTTGCAAACCTGTATGAGTTTCTTTCTTCTGTTGAATACAAATGAAGTTATTTTGAATATTATAATGCTTATAAACCGTGAGTCAGAGTATGCTTTATGTGGGGTTACTATGAACTGGGCAGAGCCGCTCAGCTGTTGAGATTAATTCCAAGAGATCTTTTTTTGGCTGATGGGTCAATCTTTCTTTCACTCTGCCAGTCTCTGTCTCTATGATGTTGGTGTGTGTATGAACATGAATGTTTGGAGATTCAAATATTCTCTGACCTTCTGAGGTTCAGTCCCCAGCGTTACCAGTGTTTTGGACAGAGTCATCTACTCTTTACATGCTAATCCAAACACAAATTGCAAATGAGTAAAAGGACACATCAGACAGGATATGTTTTCACTTTTTAATACATTTTACATGTGGCTTATGGAAAATGACACAAACATTAATAGTGCTAACACTATTAATTAATTTGGCTACCCAACACACATACTCATACACTCTCACATTTTGGAGCACATTTTAGGAAAAATTCTCCTCTTTCTTCCACTTCCAATTACTTCCTCTGCATTTTATACGTTTTGTTCCATCCATTTCTCCACAATTTCTGTGGTGAATTTCCTCTTTCAGTCCTCTTGAATACGAGTCGCCCCCTCTTCTGATACTGGACCCTCCCTCTTGATCTCGGTAACCACCTCTGTGTATGTCACATCTGGGCTGGGCTTCCTGCCTTTGGGAGGAGTCACAGCTGGCTCCCCCTCTGCACCTTCCTGGCCCTCAGCGACAGTGCGTTCCTTCTTCAGTTTGATTTTGAACGATTCTTTAGTGGGTGTTTTCTTAGCAATGTTTTCCTTCAGCCTCTCGCTGCTCTGACGCATCTTCTCTCGCTGCTCGGGGGGAACGATCTTCTCACCCAAGGTGTTGAATTTGGTTCCAAGCGTTTGGCCCGTCTTGCTCAGGCTCTCCTTGGTCTTGCTTAGGTTTTCCCGCGTCTTTTCGCGGGTCTTGCTCATGTTCTCTTTGGAGAACGCAGCTTTGATGTTCTCAATGCCTTTTAAGCCGCTCTGTTTCAGACGTGCGCCCCGGGATGACTCCGGATCCTCTACCACCATGTACTCATCATCAGATGATAGGTCAGCAGGGATCTCATACTCATCTGGCTCCACCTCCAAGTTAGCAAGCCCTGCCCCCTTGGGAGTCTTGGTGACAGCAACAGAGGGAACTTCAGTTTCACCCTGCGGTGACACACAGGAAAGACTATTAACCACTGGGAAACAATCTCTTTACCCACTCCCAGAAGGTCATGGAGAAGAACTCAGATTTGTTATGCTTTCTTGCAACAATGTCAAACTCAACAAGATGCAAGAGTCATTATGCTGATTACCAAACATCAATTTCAATATTAACATATTTAGATTTAATTATTTATTAAGGAGTTAGATCACCCAAAAATGCAAATTCTGTCGTGAATTACTCACCTTTATCCAAACCCAGTCTTTTGTTCATCTCTGGAACACAAATGAACACAAAATGAAACCTGAGACCTTTCTTCCCTCCATTCACATTGCCTTTGCAACTACCCCTTTAAGCCCCAGAAAGATAAGGCATCATAAAAGTATTCCATGTGACCCATGTGGTTTAACCTCTGAGTGCTTTGTTTGTGCAAAAAAAAAAAAAAAAACCCTTCCCCCTTCCCCTTTATTTACAAAGTATTAATATCTAATGTGCGTTCGTGAGAGCACCATGACACATTCGTGTTGTGTGGACCCGTCTCCAACACACGTTGGAGATTTTGTAAATAAAGTGGTAAATAAGTGTTTTGAGCAAACAAAGCACTCGTGTCCCTTCATTAAATTGAGGTTAAACCACTAAATTCACATGGATTACTTCTGTCCTTACTACCTTTCTGGGGCTTGAACATGGTAGATGCATAGGTTGTCAAAGGAGGGACAGAAAGCGCTCAGATTTCATTTTATGTCCATTTGTGTTCTGAAGAGGAACGAAAGTCTTATGGTTTTGAACAACATGAGGGTGAGTAATTAATGGCAGAATTTTTCTTTTTGGTTAAACCCTTTAAGATTAAAATGCAAATTTCTATTTAGATGTATTACGTTAAAGCATAAATATGAATGTTGCTCATACTCTTGCTATTACCAAAACAAAAACAAGACAGCCTACATTTCAGGTGCTGTGTTGAGTGTAAAATGTTGGTTCAGTGACAGAACACAACTCTTAAAGGGATTGTTCACTTAAAAATGTTCAATTATGTCATCAATTACTAGAAGAATATTTTAGTTTGAAGAATATTTTTAACTGTTTTGCCCATATAATAAGTCCAAAACAAAACTAGACCCCAATGACTTTCATTGTAAGGAAAAATAAATCTTCTTGGAACGACATGAGGATGAGTAAATGATGACAGAATTTCAATTTTTGTCTTAAAGGGTTAGTTCACCCAAAAATGAAAATTAAGTCATTAATTACTCACCCCCATGCTGTACCAACCCTGTAAGACCTTCGTTCATCTTCGGAACACAAATGAAGATATTTTTGATTAAATTTGAGAGCTGTATAACTACCACATTGGCTCCTAAGGGACTGCCTCTTGACGGCCCAGAAAGTCAATGAAGAAAATGTTTAAATATCCCAAGTGACTACCGTGGCTCAACTATATGTTTATCAAGCGACGAGAATACTTTTTGTGCGAAAAAATAACGAGTTTATTCGACTATTCCTTTTCTTCCTTGTAGGCCAGAAACGAGACTTCCTTAGATTTCCACGACGCATGCGCCTACAAGGAAGAAAAGGAATAGTCGAATAAACTCGTTATTTTTGTTTGTTTTTTCGCACAAAAAGTATTCTCGTCGCTTGATAAACATATAGTTGAGCCACGGTAGTCACTTGGGATATTTAAACATTTTCTTCATTGACTTTCTGGGCCGTCAAGAGGCAGTCCCTTAGGAGCCAATGTGGTAGTTATACAGCTCTCAAATTTAATCAAAAATATCTTCATTTGTGTTCCGAAGATGAACGAAGGTCTTACAGGGTTGGTACAGCATGGGGGTGAGTAATTAATGACTTAATTTTCATTTTTGGGTGAACTAACCCTTTAAGTATCCCATTAGGTAAAATTTACTTTTATAAGTTCAGCTGTTTTTTGTTTGTTTGTTTGTTTTTCAATTATGATGATGCATATAAGTATGTCTGATGCACATAGATCAAGTTGAAAACTAGTTTTCACCATAATATTAAAACAAAGCTGTTGGACACTTTTTATAAAACGGATAGTTCCGGTCCTTGATTCTGATTAGTTAAGCAGCGTTCAAATCTGTTGTAAATTACAAACATACACCTCCACTCCACATCGTGCCTAAAAACATGCCTTAGCAGTTCTAAATTCACAGTAAACCACATGAATGTAAGTCAGACAATCTCATCCTGTTTAAGTGGGTGGTTCTTGGTCATCACAAGCAAATTGGGCTAGATTTTATACCAGTCTAAAGTCGGGTTACTTGAGACTACCCTTCCCTGGAGGACATTTTTCAGTCTGTAAGAATGGATGTCTATGTATGTGTATGAATAAACTCCCTATTCAGGGAATAGCCTTAAAGAGTCTCTTCAGCTGTGTTCAGCAGCTCTATATAAGGAAAGCCCAGAATAACTACTCACAAACACACTCTCATACACACGCACACACACACTAACAGCCTAATTTATACTAATTTGTAACACATTTTCTCTAATTATTTATTCTAGGAGCAGTGAGGAGTCGAATAGACAATTTGCCAGCATTTGTGCTATGCCAATAAGAACAATTGAACATAATTTGTGTCCATCCCTAAAAGCACGTTTAGGATTGGGGTAACCAAATGTGCATAGATCACTGATAAACCACATTGGACTACAATTACTAATCTGTATCTGTGGTGGTTGAGGTCCAGTATCACTCTTGAATGAACATGTCAAAAATATCTTTACTGTCATCGGACACAATAACATAAATAGGTAGCCTATCAGCTCTAGAAAGGAAATTCTCAAGTGCGCCCCCTATTGCTAATACAGCAGGTGTCATTGTGAGATCGCAGAGCCAACTTGCTGTTGAATGCCAAAAGGATAGAGCTTCACCATCAATTACCCAAAAAGTTATCACATTTACTGTTTGTGGAGTGAAAATCCAATCACTTCAATAGGAATTCAACAATTCAACAAAAAGCTACTTTGTTTGAAAGTGACTTCTGTGTGAGCTGTGCTTCATGAAGTGCTAAATTATTGACAATAGACAATGGACCTTTTTTGTCTGCGAAATTTCACCAAAATGTCCTTAACACGCATGCAGTGGTTAGCAATGGGTTTACCTGGTAGATAACAACCCTGAACTTATTGCGTGTGAGAAGCTCATCCTGTGTAGTTTCCACCTTCTTCACACGCACGTTCTGTTTCTCCACACGTGAACGGACTTCTTTAACGTGCGTGCTCACGCGACGGGCTTTCTGCAGCAGTTTGTCAACGGTTGTTGCTGTGGTACCATGGTCACGAGCCAGTTTAGTAAGCTCAGATTGGACAGCGCTCACAGAGGTTTCGAGCTGCTGCTGTCGCTCCTCCATGCGCTGCTGGCTCGCCTGGACGCCATCGATGATCGTAGACACGCGTTCCAGTAGAGAGAGAATTGACAGGGCCGAGATCGGCTGCCCGGATTCATCCTCAACCCCCAACATGACATCTCCTCTCTTTTCCATCTCTGATTCTCCTTTTCACCGTCCCTGAAAGTAAAGCTACCGGGCCAGAGATGGGTAAGGGGCCAGGTGGAATCAAACACACAGTAGAGAGAAACTGACACTCCAAGAGAGAGACCCCAATGGAATCTGACAAACTCCACCCCTGTTCACACACACAGATATAAATGTATGGATATAAATACAACTGTAAGAGGATACTAAGACATTTTTGGAAGCTGTATCACAGAGGCGTTGGAAAGCCCCATTAATTCATACATTCCAGTATCGTGTGCATGTGTTCTGGTGGTTTGTGATATGCACAATATGTGTTGCTTTCTCAGCTCTGAAATATCTAAAATGACAGTGGCATTAATCTAGAGCGCAAATGTGTGTGTTTGTGTGGTGAGGTGGACTTACTTTTATAAATCTGGCCCGCTGTGGCATACCGTTAACTCAACTGAAGCCAACAGCTGAGGAACGCACACACACACACACACACACACACACACACACACACACACACACACACACACAGTGTAAACTGACCTTGGAGGGTTTTCACATTGGTGTTTTGACCTCTGACCTCACATTAAGACAACCAAAAACTACATCTCCCAGCATGCACTTTGAATCACTGAGGAAAATACGCTAGTACTTTAAGAAAAACACTAAAGACATGACATTTTCCTTAAAACTCACTTTATAGATTTTTTCTGAGTTTAAACAGGTTTGACATGCAAACTTTCACAGGCCTTCACATAATATAAAGTCACAGATTTACAAACTGATTTATAAGACTGATAAACACACAGCATCTCACCGTCAAATACTGATGACCTTCTTTATGAGAATTCAGTTGTAAGAGGTTTGGATTGCTTGGTTTTGAATTGTGCTAAAACACAGCTACTATTATCTCATTTTTGCTCCGTTTCCAAAATGAACAAATTGCAAAGTTTTCCCAGCTTTATCCACCTTGTTTTTCCGTGTGAAAGTAAGTTATTTCCTGTGGATGTACAAGACTTTGGAATCATTAGCTACTGTAGGAAAACAAATATAAGAATAACAAAGTGTAGTAATTGGTAAAATATATTTGTGCAAAACATTGTGTTTATGATTTACCATAATAAATCAAAATAAAATGATAGCAAATAACGGTTTGCAACATCAAGCAGCACAACAGACTTTTTTGTACAGCTAAAATAATTGACACCGGAAGACTCCGGAACTTAAAAATGGTTACACCTTTTCTTACAATAAAAATGAGGAGGATAGAAGGTAAAATATAATGAGAAAACAACAAATTCTAGCAGGAGTAGGTTTTACAAACATTCTCTGATATGCTTTAACCTGTGGTTCACACTGTAAATCTCTTATGGAGAGTTTGGACACTAAAAACTATATTTTTACTTTCCTTTTCTTTTTTCTTTTTTAAAGAATATCTGAGTGATCCATGCAAAAAGAAATGAAGCTATTGTGCTGTGGGTGGTCGCCAGGGCATTGCTATGTAGTTTTTTTGCAGAATGTTTCTATATGGTTGCTAGGGTGTTCTGAGCGGTTGCTTACTAGCCAAAGATAAAAGAGTGTCAGTAATATTCTGGTCCCAATAAATGGCTTGGGTCTTTTGTTCTGCAACTGAAGAAAATGCATGCAAATAGAAAAAACACCAACAAATTAAGAAAACACTTTTAGTTTGACAACAAATGTGCTGCAAATCCTCACAAAGCAACCAAATACAGAAATACGCTGAAAATACTCGCAACAGAACCTAAAACAGAAACGCGCTGCAAAAACTCACAGCGGAACCAAGTACAGGAACGTGCTGCAAATACTCACAACACAATCAAACACAGAAACGTGCTGCAAGTACTCACAAAACAACCAAATACAGAAATATGCTGCAAGTACTCACAATACAACCAAATACAGAAATGCGCTGCAAATATTTACAAAACAACCAAATCCAGAAACTCGCAGCAAATACTCACAAAGCAACCAAATCCAGAAACGCGCTGCAAATACTCACAACACAACCAAATACAGAAATATGCTGCAAATACAACACAACCAAACACAGAAACACATTGCAAGTACTGACAACGCAACCAAATACAGAAATGCAGTGCAAGTACTCACAACGCAACCAAATACAGAAACAGGTTGCAAATACTCAGAACACAAACAAATACATAAACGCGCTGCAAATATACACAACACAGCCAAATTAAGAAATGCACTGCAAATACTTACAACGCAATCAAACACAGAAAAGTGATTTAAAAATACAAAATGCAACCAAATAGAGAAACATGCTGCAAATACTCAAACACAACCAAATACAGAAATATGCTGTAAGTACTCACAATGCAACCAAATACAGAAACGCACTGCAAATACTTACAATGGACATAAAATCAGGATGCTAAAATAAACAATAAACTCACCTTTCTGGTCATCAACAACACCACTGACGAGTAGACATAAGATGAGTAGAACAATAACTGTTCCTCACTTTTCCAAGTTCCTCACTTGTCCCAACAACTTGTCCCCTTGAAACATTTCTACTGTGGTCTTTGGTTCTCTGGTGTATTTGGTTGCATTGTGAGTATTTGCAATGCGTTTCTGTATTTGGTTGTGTTGTTAGTATTCACAGCGCGCTTATGTATTTGGTTGCGTTGTGAGTATTTGCAGCACATGTGTTGTTAAACTGATGAAGATGTTTTCGAATTTTTCCTTTTTCGTTTTTTTCTATTCGTGTGTTTTCTTCAGTTGCAGTGCGTTTAGCTTTCTCAGCCACCCTATCTTAGTCAGTATAAATATAAATATAGTATTTGTATGCCTGTTATATTGTCCTCCAAGAGAAAATCATCTTATAGCTTTTAAAAGTAATAGCACACATTCTCCTTGATAATACGCCGTCACTTTTGAATCACACTAGCATGTTTTGCGTGGCAAGCATCACTCCCGTATTGTTCAGAAAATGTAAAAATCTACTTAATGTAAACATTTGACCAAGTGGATTTACTGCATTTAGACTAGAAAGAAAGTGAGGGAGAGAGATGAAAAAGGCAAAACTGTGAAGGGGAGAAAGAACACTGGGAATGTAGAGATTTTAAAATACCGGTAATAAACTCCTGGTGACAAGGTGGAATAAGGCCACTGAAATATCAATGTTGAAAGATATAATTCTTTCCAAAATGCCTCAGTGAGAGTATAGTGTTTGAGTGTGAAGAAGCTATTGGGAGTTTGTGCGTTTCAGTTTAAGTTATCAGCAGCTATACAATCCTGCGTCCTCCATCTTTGGGTGAGTGACCCAGGTTCTGTTTCTGAAGATGGGCTCGTGGCTTTTTTGGATGAATCCTAAAGGCAACAGTTTGGAGATTTTGTGAGTGTGTGATATTTGTGCTTTTTTTCTATATTAGAATTAATTTGGTGCATACTACTGTGACACCAAGAGTTTTACCTTGTGATGCAGATTATGATAGCGATAATTATGCTGATCTGTACAGTAGCAATGATCACAGCAATCAGGACGTATTGAAGCTTCTGTCCATTGGGCACCACGTACAACTCACTGAAGTCTCTCTGCTCACAGTGCACACCGGAGAACCCCACATCACACCTAAAGAGATGCGACCATGATTTACTGAAACACATCAACCGCATATGCAAAAAATCCTCTTCATTTTTACATCCAATTGAGATTTACTACAATAGATGACTTGTGCATGTGTTGCGGATCATACCTGCATGTTGCCAGATCATTTTTCATCTCACAGGTTCCATGCACACAAAAGCTGCTGTTGATTTCAGCACAGGGCATTGCTCCGCCCACACTGACTCCACCCACTAATACCACTGAATCTATAAGATGAATCAAATATGTCATATCTGATTACAGAAAATGTTTACATATTTGTCTCTACATGTGTTTGCTGATTGTGTGATTTATGTGTGTGTGTGTGTTTACCTGGACATTGCCCAAGGTGTTTGACATTAATCTGAGCTTGTTTCAAGCAGGAAGCTTCTCTGACCTGGCATGGATTACTGTAAGATTGGCCATCTGATCCACAAACTGGATTCACATTAAATCCACTGCAGTCTACATTACATACACACCTGCACAGAAAATGCATATTACCTGCATGTTCACCTCTAGAGAAGAGTTTCCCAAATGGGCTTTAGGGAAGGAACTGTAGGGGGTTTGTGAGATGAAAAGCTAATAATTAAAGCCCAATTTTACTTCTGCGTCGAACTCACGCCGTAGCTACGCCGTAGGCTGTGTGTAGCGCGCGTACCCTTCGACGTACCCTGAAGTGCACCTCTCCGCGTACCGCAAGCGCTGTGATTGGTCTACTAGAACCGCTCCCCAGGTTTCACATGCTCCCTCTGCATGTTTACATGTCAACGCGGACAACGTCGCAGAGGTATAATTAAAAACCAACGCGTAGTCTATAGTGTAGAGGCTCCGCCGCAGGTCGGACGCAGAAGTATAAATCAGCCTTAAGTCATGAGAAGTTCATGGGTTTAAATGTTTGAAAATGAAGAATTTTAGACAAATTTAAGTAAAAATATTATTATTATTAAAAAATATATATTTTACAGTCCAATTATAATTTGCAATTGTGGGGAGCAGGACGAGGCTGAAGGATGTGAGAGAGCGGTGCGAGGCTGGTGGTGTGAGTGATAATGAACGACACCTGTGAGACGCACTGGTCTCGCACCACTCTCTCACGTCCCTCGGCCTCGTCCTGCTCGCCACAACAACAAATATATTTCTGCCTTCATTTTTACAAGTTAACACTACTACAGTATTTAATAATAATAACAGAAGAACTATGAACATACAAAATTAAATTATAGAAATATTAACTTAAAATCTCAGGGTAAATATCAAGCAAATATTTTACTTAATGGGTTCAGCTGAAAAAAAAAATTTGGAAACTCCTGCTCTAGTATACAAACGTGCGCGCACACACACACACACACACACACACACACACACACACATAATTATGGGGACATTCCATAGGCATAAAGATTTTTATACTGTACAAACTGTAAATTCTATTCCCTTACACCAACCATTCCCCTAAACCTACCCATCACAGAAAACTTTCTTCATTTTTAGATTTTTTTATAAAACATTATTAGCTTAGTGTCTTTTTAAAGCCATTTTAATTACTTGGACTCAAGAAATGTCCTCATAAACCATGTTTACATTGTAATACCAGTGTAATACCCATGTCATTATAAAAATCTGTCTTCTCATAAATCATATAAACAAGCACACACACACACACACACACACACACACAATGACCAACCAAATGCCTTCAGAGTCTTCATCACACTCCGCTCCAAACTTGCAGCTAGAACACTTAGAGTATCTGCTGGGCTCTAGTCCTGAACTCTCCAGATCTTCACACAAACATAAGAACATGGTTTACGTAAGGTCTACTATTCTATTGAAAGTCACATATCATTTTTATTTTGGTTGCCTTAATATCATATGTCAATGAAGATCACATTTCAAATTCCCTAAAAACTGCTCAAAACTTTATGCTGGCTCTGAAAAAAAATCTAATAAAAATACCTGTATCTCCTGATGCTGATTCAGCAACTGAGAAAAAGGATAAATATTATGTTAAACGCCATGTCAGATTAATAGTTTTAAATATATGTATTACATAGTTTTACATAGTTTACATATGACATACATACTTAAAAAAAATATTGTATATTATTAAGTATGTAGCACTGATTTTGCATTTATTTGCTAAGTGCTTTGAAAAGTCTTTTACTGTTTTTGCTAACCGGAATGACAGTGTCCTTCCATAATTACAGTGATTCTGGTCTGCTGTTCACAGGCAGCTTGTCTTAGGAAACATTCACTATGATATGTGTCACCATCAGACCCACATACTGGAGCAAACATCTGTGGACACTGAAAGAAATAAACACCTGAGTCCTGAAACCTGCCTCAGACATGCTTATAATTATATATGATAGTCACAGGGCAAATACTAGGTAATTCTAGGTAATACCTAGAAACTGTTTTCAGCATCATTAGCAGTAATAACCAATGTTTAATTTCATAATATGCAGAGCTTATTGTGGCAGGACAAAAACAAACCTGAAACTGACAAAGACACTCCAGGTGTGATCCGTTGTCCCTGCAGATTCCTCCGAAAGAACAACTGTATTCATCACACACATGATGGTCACTTTTCTTCTCGGACATACCTAAAACCAACACACACCTTTGTCAAAGGCATTACATGCAAGTGTGTGCATGTATGTGTTTGTCCACACAAAACCTAACTCATCAGGACTAATGGGAAGAAGCCTATATAAAGTGAATAAACCATCTGTTCTGACAAGTATACAGCACATACTGCTAAAAAAATGAAGGTCTTAGCTGGTGTCTCAGACTGGTTTTAAAGCACCTTTTGGAAACTGGAAACTGCTCAGACTGGGGAACCAATCGAAAGCCACTAAAACTAACTGGGGTGGATTCTGGAACCCACTGCTGCTTCACTGTATATCTATTGAGTGATTATAATCAAGCTATTAATACATATTTTCAATGAGATAAATGACATATGAGATTTTACTTTGTTATAGAAGATACCAGTGTGATTACAGAAATGTTCTTTTCATGTATTCTTTAATGTCTATTAAATATCTGAGAGGTGACTGAAGGGTCTAGCCCATGCTAGAAATGCAGTAACAGTGCTTTCTCATTTAGCATTGCTTCCAGAAATTTCATATGGAAAGATGCTTAGTTTTCTTTGAGAAAGGTCTTTAACATGTCTTAAAACATACAGTATGTGTGTCCTTCTGGCTCACCATGACGACTGTAGGTCACAAGGGTCATTGGAACCTAGTTGAGGGACCATTTCTTTAAAGCTTTACTGTGTTAAAGTGTTCTCTCCTTGAGAGAAAGAGTGTGTGTGTGTCTTTTTGGTTACAGGTTAAGGAACCACTTGCATTGTAGATTGACTGACTTGTTTGAGACATGCTGGCACCCAGCAACCCAGATTAGCAAACTGGATATCCTATAGTCTATCTGTATATGTGTGGAAAATGACTGTTTATCTATTTCTTAGCAAATGAGAATAATTCAACCTGAAGCAAGGATGTAGCTTCAACCCTTGTCTTGGACTCTTGGTGTAGGTTATAACTGCTCTAAATCCCCTCACAGAACTTTTTTTGTTGTTGATGTTTATTTGTTTATTTTCCCAATTGTAATCTGAAATGAAGTTCATCATAAACATTTCCATGAAGTTCCTATTAGAACAATTTCTAATGTTTTCCTAAACTCATTATGTTTTTAATATTTTATTTTGCCGTATTTTTTTCCAATTTTCACAAACTGCTAAATCTAAAAGCTTCCTAACATAAAGAGACCCTACGTTTAAAAAAAATGCCAATGCAAGTTTGTGTTTTGACTAGATGAAGGGGTTGAGTTATTAAGCTATATAGGCTAATTACATTCGGCTTCATTAAAAAAAAAAAACAGTTTTTTGGAATGATGGAAGCTCCGCACCATCAGTAGGCTAAATAAAGACTTGTGTGTTTGACGAGTGTGTGTGTGTGTGTGCACCTTCACATCCTTTGTCATCTTCAGTCAAACAGTCGCTCTCCTTGTTGGACGTCAGGGCTCCGGGCATCTGCACAAGGACCAGCAGCCCGAAAATCGCGAGACAGCGTCCAGCACCTGCAGCGCACGAGCCACCGGACATAATGCGGCCAAACACGATGATTCCGCGCGATTGATACGGCTGTGTGAGCCAGGTGACTCGGAAATGTTTCACATGAAAGCTGATGCTGCACTTATAGCTCATTTCTTTTCATAGGCCGAGCTGAATGAACGGCCAGTGATCCGATACCAGCTCACGCGTCCTAATTATCGTGTCGCGCGCGCAGAGACGCCATCAGTTTCCTTCACTTCCCTTCATCTGCGCTTGACGGACACAGAACAGGGAAGACGGAGAGACTCCACAGCCACAAAATGAGACGGACCTGAATGTGGTCACGTGAAACTCCTTTAAAAGACTAAAAAACCTATTAATAAAGTCAATATTTTCAGATTTAAGCATATTGTGAAAATTAGCTTTGCTTTAGTAAATATAGGCTATAAAATAATTTAATTTTAGTAAAATTTTGTCTTAATTACATAGTCATACTTTTCAACATATACTTTTTCTTACACAGTATAGGCCTACAAAATTTGCCTATTTATATTTACTTTCAGCAAGAGATCCCTCGCGAGGAGATAATGATCATATTTGTGAGTTCATTAAAAAGTTAAAACATTTCAGAAATACGAGCTCTCAGTTTTTTCTTACTCTATTTTATAAATCCATCACAAATATGACGATCTCCTTTCGTGAGCCACTTCCTTAAATATAAAGATAAATTTACACAGTTTAACAAAAATATAGCCTATAAGACATAGGCCTATGATATGGTAGGCTAGTATTCGTGGTTTTAAGATACAGGGTAGGCCTATTTTTTGTATAGGTCACTGTAATATTCAAGACAACTTGACAGCCCTAAACATAGATAATAGCTAATATAGGCCCTATATGAAAACAAACAAACAAAAAAAAAAAACATTTATATCTCTCAAAGTAGGCCTATCTCATAGTGCCCCTATAGAAAACCCCTTGACAGAGCACATCTATTGCTTTTATTAACTCTAAAAATGCAAAAGTTGTTCTTTTGGGCTGGTCTGTTGGCCTGTGTCTTTATCTAAATAAACACCTCTGTGTTTGAGATCTGTTCCTGGGCGTGTGTGTGTATAAGGGTTATGTTTATCCACATGATCCAATTTGTTCCGTAAAACATGTAACAACTTTATCTGCATCTGGAATGGATATGGCTATGTGGCCTTTTAAACCACTAGTCTAATAGGGTCGTTTTTTAAGAATAATTCACATGAATAAAGTAAGTAAAAATTCCCTTTACAATTATTTACCATAAATGTTGTTTAGTGCGGATTCTGCGGAATGTGGATGTTTAGATGAATCAAACAGGGTGGTCATGTGACTACACCTAAACCAATGACATCAGCTTCTGACTCTTCCCTAAAATTATCAGGCTCTATCACGGACACGGAGCGTCCCGTTTTTTTTTATCCGCAGAGGTATACAGTCACATCAAATCGGTAAGACTGCTGTTTGTTTTATTAGTTGCCGACTCGCCGTTAGATCGGGAATGGCAGAGAAGAGATGTGTCCACGCCGCGCGCTCCGCTCTTGAAACAAAAGATACTCGCTCTGTTTCCGGTTTTACGATGACGTGTTTTTGCACACGGTCTGGTTGAGTTGAGGTGCTTGTGGTGTTGTGTGCAGAATCGCCGTCTAGAACGCGCTTACTTTCGAGCGTGGTGCTCGTGTGGACTCCCGGTAAGCAGGAAATAGTGTTACTTATGGTCAGTGCGTTACGAGTGTAAAAATACAGTTAGGACGGGAGAAATTCGTTGTGCACGATGCAGGACAGGACCAACTAGGCCGCGTAACGCCTGTTGTTCTTCCACTTCAGTGTTGCATCTGTTACTGGCATACATCGTGGCTTCATAGATGTCAAAATATAAATCGCCCCTGCAATCCAGTAAAAAACGTAATTGTTATTGTCAAAGTCATTGACATTGTTATTTGTTATGAATATTGTTGTCGCAGACGCAGTGTGTTATTAATGATGCGCGGCGTGTTTAATAATACAGAAAAAAACAGGATGAAGTGCATTTGTGTAAAATTCACCAGATTCCCGTGTGCATTACTTTTTCTTAGAAGTCTTACAGTTGAACACTTTTCAGAAGCATATGGAGTCGTTTGCTATGGCATATTTTATGCGGCGTCCCACTATTACTAAAAACGTGACAGTTTTACGTTCATAAATCCCACGTTTTTTTATGTGAGACCTGTTTGATGTTTTTGTAGCTAGTTTTAAATCCATATGTATTTTCTCTTAAAATGAGTTTGGGCTATTCTACCTCAGTGTCTCCTGTATCTAACAAAAGTCATTTATCAATAATTGTGAGTTTATTTTTTAAATTTAAATTGGTTCTTAACCTTGTTATGATTTTAATGAATTTTGAGTATTTAAATAAGATGCCAACCCAAGCGTATCAATTTGCATAAACACGCCCACCTATAATATCAATATACATTCTGTGCAACCTTTCCTTTTACAGCCCTCCTTCCTTTGCATTTAAGATGAAATATCTATGTAAAATTATTTTTAACACGTTTACATGGGTATCTAATATGTGTTTTGCATATGTGTGATATCTGCTTCTATATTTTGTTCTGGAAATTTAGAATACATTTTGGCATAAATGTTATTTATGACTCATGATTTGTTTGTGCATGAGATTCAGTAGTTTAGAAATCTATTGCATTTGTTTTCACTTAATTGCAGTTAAAAAAATTTTAACTACTTGTTTTCGGTCCTTAAAATGAGTCTTTCCATTTTCACACACTGTAAATGGAAGTTGAGAATATAAGTTTATGTTTTGCTTTTGTTTTCATTCTCTGTTTCAGAATTGTAATGTTGACATTGTTCTGTTGCAGCATTGTGACAACCAGATTATTTTTCTGTTTTAGGATGCCAGTATGATTGACTGGTGGCCACGCCTCTTTCTAGTGGTGTCACTGACAATACTGTGGGCGTGTTTAGTGGGGGCAGGTTCAGACTGCACATCTATGCCCATTGAGACTGATGGTCGAGTAGCAGAACAGGCACAGCAGCGCCACCTACATGCTCTGTTTGACAAGTATGGCCAGAACGGGAGTATCTCCTTAGAAGGCCTGTTCAACCTACTAAAGGGGGTGGGGCTAGACCGCATCCGGAAAGTGATGGTGCATCATCATGAAAACGAACATAATCATACACACTCGCATGCTCATGAGCACGCTCATGTGGACAAACTCACCACACACACGCATCCTGTCACCAAGAAGGGGGGTATTGATCATAATGTGGAGAAGACTGACCCCATCCCAAAAGTGCAGCCTGATCCTGCCTCTGGGAAGAAAAGCCAGTCGGATGCTCACCACAATCTCTACATGAAGATGAATCAGGAACCGACTACACATTTGACCACGCCATCCTACGTCACAAAATCACGGCGGTCGAATCGTAGCGCTGACTATGATTTAACTCAAGACCACGACTCCTATAACCACGCCCAGCCCAATTTAACACACTCTAACCACACCCACCATCCTGAGGACACAGCCACCCATGTGCACGATGACCATGAGCATGGACACAGCCATACCAGTCTAGAGGTACACAAACAGTTGCATTATTTACTCGTTTAATTTTTATTATATATTTTAATTGATGTATTTTAAAATTGATTTATTGAATTTTATTTTAATCAATATTTTGATTGAACCTTTTTTTATTTATTTATGTTTACATTTCTTACACTGTTTTTCTTTAAACTTTTCCATGGATCGCCGAGTGCTGCCTTTAAAATCCCTGACATATTCCTTTCAAATAAGTCCTGCCTTTCCTCTTTCAGTGTCAAAATGCCTCCACAATCCTGCAGTCACATGGCATGACAAAGGAAATGGGTCTCTCTGTCAAGGACTTCAGTTACCTGTGCCCTGCCCTTCTCATGCAGATCGATTCCAAGTCTTGCCTCGTGCACAAGGATGACCATCCAGGTGAGCTTTTGTGCCTGTAATTTACATACAGTTGTATTTTTGAGTCACAGTTGTTACAGATTCTGCAAATCAACTAAATAACAATTTGCTTCCCCTCCTGCCAGATCATTCCCATCATCACCACAACCACCACCATCATCATCACCATCATTTGCATAATCACACAGATGGAAAAAGCCCAAGGAATGCTTCAATTAGCATTGGTAAGTATTGTTATTTATGGTTTATAGATATATATAACAAGGCTAAGTTGCATGTTCATTATATTTGTTGTTGTCCATTTATACAAATCACATTTATGTTAGATAAACGGCCAGCCTCCTGAGTGAGTAAGTTCAGCCACTGAAACCATTGCATTATATCTGTGGAAGTCCTTTTGGTTTATAATACACAAACTTGGGAGTGATAAGTTGATCATTTTCATTTTGTGGTTGATGACCTATACATGGCCCATATTCAAATTCTATTTGACTAAATAAATAAAAAACTAAACACAAAAAAATATACAATTAATTCGTATAAAATATTCCAAATGAATTCACAACATAATTCATTATGAGATTTGCTAGTGTTAATAAAGTATTCGTTTTTATAAAGTTGAACTTTAAGTGAGCTTTAGATGGCGGCAGAGGTAATCTAAATGTAAAATCAAAGGAAAAACAGTACAAAAAAAAACATACTTCTAATAAGTGTGTATGTTTGTGTTACAGCATGGGTAGGAGGGTTTCTCTCCATCACTTTGATCAGTTTACTGGCATTAGTTGGTGTGGTTTTGATTCCACTCATGAACAGAGTTTGCTTCAACTTCCTGCTGAGTTTCCTGGTGGCCCTTGCAGTGGGAACTCTCAGCGGAGACGCTTTCCTTCATCTCATACCACATGTAAGTACAAATACTGTCATCAAGACACAAACTGGCATTTGAATTTTGTACTGTTGTTTTTGAGCTCTTATATTTTTGGTCTATGGTTCTACTTGATACTGATATGATATGATCGTCATTTACAAAATACACTGCCACATACACTACCACTTAAATGTTCGGGGTCCGTAAGATTTTGTAATGTTTTTAAAATAACTATTTTATGCTCACTACAATACAAAACTGAATTTATTTGATCAAAAATAAATTAATAGTAATATTTTGAAATATTATTACAATTCAAAATAACTGTTTTCTATGTTAATGTTTTAAATTGTACTTTATTCATGTGATGGCTGATCTGTATTTTCAGCATTATTACTCCAGTCTTCAGTGTCACATGATCCTTCAGATCGTTCTAATATGATGGTTTGTTGTTCAAGAAATATTTCTTACTATTAGCAATGCTGAAAACTGTTGTGCTGCTTTATATTTTGTGGAAATCATTAAACTTTTTTTCAGAATTCATAGATAAATAGAAAGAGCAGCATTTATTTGAAATAGAAATCTTTGTAACATTTTAAAATGTCTTTACGGTCTCTTTTAATCAATTTAATGTATCCTTGCTGAATTAAGAAATCTTACTGACCCCACACTTTTGTAGTGAATACACATTTTGTGAGATTTCTCATTGACTTCTGATTGGTGTCTGTCAGTCTCTGGGTCATCACCAGCATAGCCACTCGGAGCACCATCACCACGGTGAAGAGATGGAAGAGGATTCCCTTCGGCCTGTGTGGACAGGGCTCACAGCTCTGAGTGGAGTCTACATCATGTTTCTCATTGAACACTTCCTGACCCTCGGCAAAATGTACAAAGACAAAAAACAGAAGGTCAGCAAAATGTACAAACACACAAAATACAAGGTTAAGATCTCGTATTTCATGTTAAAGTCATGTGCTACACATTATTTTAGCCATTCTGCTGAAAGTCATTAGCCTGGATGCCAGCCGAACTTAGCCCCGCCCACAACATTTGATGATGGGAATTTCGTTCTGGACTTAATCTGTTGTGGAGCAACTATACTCGAAACAGAGCTGTTCGGACCAATCAAATTGTCAGGGAGGGCTTTATATGATGATGGACAGATGATCAACCGTAACGTAATCATCCACATCACCAATGTTGAATTCGGTTAAATTAATTTACAACAAAGTATGGCTGCCGCTGGAGAATTGAGATGTGTAGATTCAGCCATCACGCATTGTTGGTCTATCCAATTGAGTGCAGAGGCATTTTCTTTCCTGGTTCGGTTGAAACGCCCCATAATCACAGCCCAATGGAGCAGCATCAGACTCATATTCAGACTAGAATCTGAGTATGACGACGTTAGGCTAAAAAGTCATAGTATTAATTCCCTGAACATTGTAACATAACAACATGGATGTTGCATGGAGTTGTTCCTTGAGTATATTATCTTTTTGTAGGTGCAGAAGAGGGTTGATCTCATCACAGAAGTTTTGGAATCTGAGAAAATGCCATCATTACAAGAAAATGATGTCAAAACACTTGATTGTATGTAACTATATGCAACTTTTTTATCCTTGTTAATGTTTATGAGGTCAAAATGAAACTTACATGGGATTTCTATAACATCAGCTGTTGAAACGAATGGTGGAAGTGCATGTGGGCGTGGCGTGGCAGAGGAAGAAGAGGTGATGTTGGGGGCGGAGCTCTACTCCGACTTGGACTGTGAGAACAAATGCCACTCCCACTTCCATGACACTGTTGGCCAGTCAGATGAGCAGCATCATCATCACCATGACTACCACCACATACTGCATCACCACCACTCCCAGAACCACCACCCACACACACACTCACACAGACACACACATTCCTATTCACTACAGCACTTCCAGCAGGCCGGGGTGGCCACACTCGCCTGGATGGTCATCATGGGAGACGGACTTCACAACTTCAGTGACGGACTTGCCATAGGTTAGTTTCACACATGTGCACACACACACATAAATTAACTTGGACTTACAATAAAAGTGTACACAAGTTTATGTCTATACAGTCTCTATTAGACAGTCTTGGGATAAACCATCTGTTTTTGCAGATTTAGCAAATCACCTAGCAAACAGGCCTTTATGATGTACGTTTGTGTGAATGTATGTTACAGTGCATATAACAAAATGTACTTTTAAAATTGAATAGGAACTTTTTTTTGAGTGATGAACTTTGCATACTAAGGCTTTTAGCATCCGTGCTTTAGAAACTGCATTTACAGATGATGTGCCATTTTGTATTTCAGGGGCGGCATTCACTGAAGGTTTGTCTAGCGGTCTTAGTACCTCAGTTGCTGTGTTCTGCCACGAGCTTCCTCATGAGCTGGGTAAGACATTGTTTCTTTCATCATGCTGGCAGTTTTTTTGACATTAAATATGTGTCAGAATAATTAAGTAACCATAAGTAAGGTTGTTGTCTATTATTGCATTACTATGAAAGTTTTTTTCTGTTCTCGCTCACCTGTCTCATCATCATTTTTTATGCAGGAGATTTTGCAGTCTTGCTAAAGGCGGGTATGTCAGTACGACAGGCCATTTTATACAATCTGTTGTCAGCCCTGATGGGATATCTGGGCATGATCACAGGCATTCTGATCGGACATTATGCCGAGAACGTTGCCATGTGGATCTTTGCTCTCACGGCTGGGTTATTCTTGTACGTCGCTCTCGTGGACATGGTGAGTAACACAGAAAAAGAGATGCTGTAATTGAGGTAGACAGATTCAAAAGGCTGTCCACTAGAAATACTACATCCTCAGCTGGGTTATCCTTAACTAAAAAGAAAAACTTTGTTAATTGAAATAAAGCAGAAATAACAAAATATTGGTTAATTGGTTAATATTGTGTGTCTGGAAAGATTATATTGTAAATGGTTAATTGTTGATGAATTATAATTGTATGTTGATGCTTTGTGATTTTAGATTTTAAACGTTTAATATTTAGCATTGATTTAACTTGCTCATAGACGGTGACGTCAATATAATTGTAACTGTTTAAATAGTGGGTGGAGATATGATATATGCGAGCCAAAACGTTTGTGTACTTTTCCACTTGTGTAAAATAATAATAAAAATCGCCTAATTCTGAGTGCGAATCAATGATCATTGCTCATGATAACTTGTTTACTTTATAATAAGTAAATCCACTTCACCAGCTAATTATGCTTCAACAACAATGTCATAGAAATATACAGGTATACGCAAAAACGGAGGACTACAAAATTCTAAAGATGGCTTTGTGCTTGTTTCTCTGGAGAAATAGGTCAATAAGCACAAAGTGTTTCTTTAAAAAGTGACATCGCCAACTACTGGCCTGGCATGAAAATGTTTCAGTCGTTTTTTGTGGATACGTGTGAACAAGGATCTTTTTTACAACATTGCCGTCTGTACGTGAAAAACGTAAAAGAGAAACGTTTCGGTTTTTAGTGCATTGCTATCATGTAAATATACCCTATAACTGAAATAAAAATAAATTAAACCTAAAGTAATATTAAAATGGAAACAGAAAATACAACAAAAGCCAATTCAAAATATGAATGAAATACTAATGTAGTTATAAATACTAAAATACCGCTAATCCTCAGTATCTTCAACATACAGTGTATCCAACTATGCATTTCTAAGAATAATTTCAGTGTGGATCAAAATATGGTTATTTCCAGCATATGCTTGTGATTGTGTTTATCTAACTGAAACGGTGATCTCTAAAATTGTTCTTTTTTTGCTTGTTTTGTAGGTACCTGAGATGTTACACAATGATGCTAGTGAAGCAGGCTTCAGTCACTATGGCTTCTTCCTCCTGCAGAATGCTGGGATGCTCCTGGGTTATGGCATCATGCTTGTCATCGCTGTTTTTGAGCACAAGATACAACTGGACATTGGCTTCTGACCTACGCAATAATAATGTAAAGAATGTCACTCCACAAAAACCTCTGCTAACGTTTTTCGTTGACTGAAGGCCCATCAGTCTTGTTTACCTGGTGTCCACCTGTTGAGATGCGCGAGATATAATTTAGTCTGTGAAAAATTGGCACCTTAATATGCACGAATAATTGTCATCTTCTTTGTTGCTTGTGGGAGAAAAAAATTATAAGTGTTGACTGTTACAATTTCAGTATAAAAGAGAAACTTGAGCCACATTGAGAATGTGGAGATTTTTTTTTATTTGTTTGTTACACTGTGTTGTTCAGTAGCTATTGAAGTGAATTACATTGTTCATTTTGCACATGCTGTACCTCCAACATTCCAGTAAAGTATTAAGTGTCCCATGATGCCTTTGTCTGATTTCTGTGTCAAAACTGTATTTGATCTTGTATTTGAGTTTATAGAGTAGAATCTATTGATATTATTGGGTTGGGTTACTGAGAAACCATTCCTATAGATTATATTTCACAAGTTCACACTTAGAAATGATTAGATGGTGTAGCAAATTAGATCTTTGAAATATTAATCATCAATCATAACTTGTTATAATTATGGATATTTTGATCAGTTAATAGGGATAACTTGACATTACAACCAAATACTCGGTTCATCCCGTGAACACTCAATATTGGTTAATAATTAATTAATAAAAATGTAAATTTCCGGGGCATGGGAAATGTCTTTCTTATTAAAGGTGCTCTAAGCGATGTCGGGTGACGTGACTTCTTGTTGACATTTAAAGTATTTTCAAACAAAATGGAGGCTAGATAGACCCTCCCTCCTCCTCATCTGCACTGACCCCCCAAACCCCTGGAACAGTTTGTCATGTTTCGTGGAGCGGGTTGCCGCAGTTTGTTTTTGTTGCCGTTTGTGGAGCCTGGGTTGTCTGCATAGACCGCGTTTTTTTACAGTGTGTCTAGGGGACAGGCAGCTAGTGGATAGTGAGGAGATGTTTGCTGTATGTGACAAAAATGTTTGGGCCTAAAAAATGTGTGACATCGTTTAGAGCACCTTTAAGTACTACCAAGAGGAAGTAGTCAAGATGTATGATTAGTGACTCCAGATATGAGCTTGAGACACGGACAACTTTACTTTGATATGAAAAAGACTGTATTAACTAACTAGACCAGACAACTACTCTAAAATACACATACATACATACAGTTTACCAAGTGTAAGAGAGCTGAAGCAGAATACAGGATAGCAAGAAGTTATAATTTAAAATTGGGTGTTTACGAAAACATATGGGTGTTTACGAAGACATATAGCTGAGCATCTAGAGCGCTCATTGGTTGTGCTGTGTACCAGTACCAGACAGACGTTGGGCCTTATTGTGGAGAATTGTGCTTTTGACACCTTATACCTTTTTATCCGAAAAGAACCCTTGCTTTTAAAGCGGGAACTTCTAGGTTCTGCCGCACAAATATCTTCAATTGGTATTCCACTCGGCCACGCCCATGACGAGGGCAAGCCTCTTGAGGAATGAGCTCTAAGATTCGCATCTCTTTCGTCTTCTGACGAGGGAATAGCTCACAGCGAAATGACCTGTGGTCTGAATGGAGTAGAGTTCCCTTTAAGCCTTGGCTTAAAGGGAAACCCTATTCTAAAACACAAAGCGCTAATACTTCGGGATTTACCATTAAGCCTTGTATTAGTAGAAAACCTGTAGTATTTCCACCCTCATATCCCTCTGAGATGAGAGATTTATGTATTTTTTGTCTGGAAAAAAATCTTCTGATGACGCAAAAATCAGAGGCTAAAGACTACAGCAAGTAGTAGGGGCTGTCCAGCATGTTCTCAACCCACCCATAGAGGGTGGGATCTCACTCAGAGAATGTACGCATAGTGTCCGCCATCTTTTTTTGGAAGCTAAGCTAAGCTAGCAGGCTCTTGTTCTGTGGAGAAAGCTGAGTAGTATCCTCTTTTTCCCGGACATGTCTGGCCGTCAAGATCGAACAAAATGGCCTGGATTCAGTTTTTGTTTTCTGCAGTCCCCATTCATTTTTTACATGCACACCTTTTGTTTCAATCTAACTGAATTCATTCCGATTGGTGAATCTGAATGTAGAGTTTACATGAACGGTAAACAAATTATCGGTTGATGTGCGTTTTAAGAAAATTTCCGCTCCTCCGTGAGAGATATAAGACCAATCCAATGGCGTCGTAGGTGGGGTGCGAGGCCCTGTGCGAGAGGTAAGATGTTTGAAAAGCTGCCTTTATTTCATGCAGTAGTAGCCTATATATAGAAGGCTGTTCACTGAAGGGCATCAAACCCTGATTTAAAATTGTGCTGTATACGGCATGCTTAGTTAATTTAAATCTCACTAAAAGAGATTTTTCCATAGCAGTGTTATGTGTAGATACTGCAGCTTGCATTATTTACAAAATCTTTTAATTAACCCTGTGGAAAATGAAGGTAAAATACCCATGAAAAGAACAAATTACAGTCCCTCTCTATTGATTTAGTTCATTCCTCCCTCTCCACCGTGCTGTCTTGTGGTTTTCTGGTTCTGAATCGGCAAGTGATTTGATTGGCCGGTGGCATGATGCCCAGACCAGCACGGCTGTTGTCTAGCATAGCCTTCTGCTTGTTGTCCAGCAACTGCATTTCACACATGAGTAGATTAACGCACACAAACTGCTTCAGCTCATTCATTGCAAAAAATCGTCCCGGACACTGTGTGGCTCCCGAGCCGAAAGGCATTCGATAGTATCGAACCTTCTGGCCGCATTTATAAAAATCAGTTTTCTCCTTCCCGTCCTCCACGAAACGGTCAAATTGGAAGCGCTACAAGAAACCCACAGACACAAGACATCTCAGTAAATTTTCTAACAATAAAGAGTAATACATATATATAGACTGTCTCACAAATGAATTGGGTTGAATAGCTTTTAGCTGTTAAATTTAAGTACACAATTAGATAACAGCAATTTAGGTCAACCCATTACCCACCAATGCTTAATTTTGTTCAGTCTGTGGTCTAAAAAAGTTGCATTAGCAATTAAAGAAAAGAAAAAAAAAAACACGTAAGCAAAACATGGTCAAGTCAAAGTGTCTGAAATAATTTTAAGTTTTTATAAATTTTACCGGTATGTGTGACACTGTATAAAACGTTTTTGGGTATAATATGTCACAGTTAACTTTATTTTGCTATGCTCAGTTACATAAATAGTACAATAGTGTCCTGCACCCACTAGTAAAAAAATATCAAAAATTATTTCTAGTGTTTGAATAATTTTTGGTTTGACTTTATGTATGTACCGTATGTATACCCCCTGGAGTTTTAAAGTTTTATATACATATGAAGAGTTCAGATGCAAAAGCCTCTAAATGCCATTTGAAATTTTCTTCTTTAATGATGATTTTTATCAAACTTGTATATTTAAGTTCAGTAATTTCACTTTAAATAACAATTAATAGGTAATTATAATTGCCATTTAAGTGAAATCACTGAACTTAAATATACAAGCTTGATAAAAAATATCATTCTAGAAGAAAATTTCAAATGGCACTTAGAGGCTTTTGCATCTGAACTCTTCATATATACATGTTACTTAAAACATGAATTTATATTTGATATATAATAATGTTAAGAAAAACTGTGATAACTTTTAAAACACCACTGCACGCCACTGGTTAAATTAAAACTAGCTAGGTAGTTTGTAGACAAACCTTACATTGGCTTGAGAAAGCCAAGCCTAAAGTTTGAAGTGATTTAAAAAGCTTGGCTAAAGGTTAAGGTTACATTCAAATAAGAAATACCTTGTTTATTTGTTGTTTTGACTCATTTTAATGCATGCTATGTCTTATTTTAAGTCATATTGGTTGAGAATCACTAATCTAGCTGAGAGCTGTAAGTATAGTATGCATTACCTGAGGCTGTTCATATATTTCCGGGTCAAGGTGTGTGCTTTGTGGGTAAAGAGCAATGATGTCATCTTTCCGCAGGCTGATTGAATTCTGGGCATCCAGACGCAAGCAAAAATCTTCCTGAACAACACGGATGTTCATCGATACAGATGAGAGACGTAAACTCTCATTTACTGAACTCTCTGCACAGAGAAAAAAAAACAGTCTGAATCACTGAAAGCTGGCATAGTTACTCTTAAATTATAGCACTATTATAATTTTTTTTTACCTACACAAGAGTTATTAATTGAAGTGACAACCACTGAATTGACTCTTGAAAACAACGCAAGATTAAAAAAATGCATGTTGTCTCTGAAACTATCATATTTTTTGTGTCCTTCCCCCCAGTATTATTATGCGTGATGGGTTACTGTGTAAAAAATGTGTTTGTTACCCAGGTAAACCATTTGTTCCAGCTGTTGTCGTGTAATTGTGATGTCCTCTTTGAAGATCAACTGCATGTTCTTCTCTCCAATCACATTAACAATCTCTGCTCGTACTGTTGCAAGGGCTTCTGGGCAGGTGATGAGGTGGTAAAGACACCAGAATGCTGCTGGTATGGTGTTTCCCACTGATGCCCACAGCATGGCAAAATGATGTGCTATGGACAGAGAAAGTAAGATAGTGTGTGTGTCTAGAAACCACCAAATCAATACACCACAGTCATGATGAGCTTTCACTGAGTCAATTCTTTATTTGTACAGTCAAAACTGCTTCCAGCATACTGAAAAGAAGCTGTGGTCAACAGCCCCTTTAAAGGGATAGTTCACCCAAAATGATAAATTCTGTCTTCATTTACTCACCCTCAAGTTGTATGTAAGATTGTGGCCAAAACTGGTACTGCAATAAGTTTCAAATTACCGTAGAGCGGTGTATCCCCTTCTCCCTGACTCGAGGTTGCCAGATAGGCAGCAGGATCCACATTTTTTTTTTATCCCACACGTTTGTAGCTGCAGATGTGGTAACTAGAGCAGAACAGGCAACCTGAATGCTGCAACACTACTGACTTTGTGATTGGTAGATCGGTGGAGGGTGGAGCATCAGACCAAAACACAACATGACAGTTGAGGGCTGCAACTTCACTTTTTAAATGACAATATCCTGGCCGGACTGCTGTTGTCAGTGATATAAGTATTTGAAATGAACATGATTTCTTAATGTCTAGTGACATATCAGGGCCATTTTATGATTATTTGAAATAGATTTCTTACATACAGCTCCTTTAATTTAGTTACCGACATTTTTCAAAATACCTTCTTTTGTTTTCAGCAGAAGAAGAAGAAAAATCATACAGGTTTGGAATAACTTTGGAACAGAATTTTCATTTTTGGGTGAACTATCCCTTTAAGACGAGTCAGTACATGCAAGTATAAGTCCTTTCTACTTGAATGGGAAAACACTGAAATCTCTAAAACAGTTTGTCAATGCAACAGATTATGTTTCCATATCTCAGACTGACAATAACATCCAATTTTTTTCATCCATTGCTCAAATTATGCTAAAACCCCATATACCCTTCACTGCATGGCATGCACAGATAACCACTATCACAACACTGATAGGTCTAGTGATGGAGTTCTAGTGATAGGCAATTTTGAAACACTGTTTCATGGACTTTCAAAACCTTTCGAAATTTTGTTTGAAATAAGTGGTTTGGCGTGTATATCGCTACTTCCTACTGTTTAAAACCATGGTTTTGAAACATTTTCAACTGTAACACTGATAATAAAATATATATTTTAGATACATATTTTGTTGTCTCTGAGTCATTAAAAAAGTCTATGTAAACACACCTTTTGTGAGAATTGTTTTCCATTTATTTAGTATTTAAATTGCATTAAACTTCAGTGCAAAAACCAAAGACTAGGCTTCTGCATGCCATCATCATGGGAATATTAATATCCTTCTGGAGGCAAGACATTTATCATCAATAAAACACTCCACAGTCATATAGGGGCTCCAAAAGAAGGATCTCAGACTGTATCTGTGTGTGTGTACTGTAAGTTTGCTTGTGTGTGTGTTCATGTGAGTCACCTGCTTTATCCTTGTCCTGAAGATTATCATACTGCTGGAACAGGGCCATTCGGGTCTGTATGAACTCGCATGGAGAATTCCATTCTGCCATTTTATGAGGGTAGAAAAATCTTGTCAGCTTTTCTCGAATTTCTTTGGTTTTTCCAA